AAATTTCCAGGGCGAGCAGATCTGGCTGTGGGTCGAGGACCTCTTCCTTCCCTCTTCTTCTGAACATTCTTGCTTTTCGTTTGCAGGGTGATGCAATCCCTTTATTAATTCCCCTTTTGATCCTCACGCTAAAAATCAAATCTTGAGTTAAACCCGAGTCAGAGCTTTTCTTTTGGGGGTTTTTAACCCTGATGTTTCTGCTCTGAAAAGGGGGGGCCGTGCACTTTGTCACTGGGATGGCGGAGCCTGTTATTGCAAATTGATTTTTTTTATTATTATTTTTTTGCCCCGTCGTGCTCTTTGAAATAATTTTGCAGAAATTATAACTTGGCTGTGAAACAAAACAAAATCAAGTGTGTTTGTTTGACGGGCGCAAACAGAAGGCGCTTGTTTGCGAAGCAGGAGAGAATTATTTCTCAGAAACAGGTCTGTTTTCTGTGACTCTTTGCTTGCCCCGTCTTTTCCTCCCCTTTTATCTGGGGGAAATCTGCCTTTTTGTGGTTTTATTGTGTAATGTGAAAAATAGGGCTGGTTCCAGCGTGATGATTTCACTCGGGTCCTGGGGGAGGCTCCGTGTGTGTGTGTCCCCTCCCTGATGTTGAGGGCTTGAGTGATGGTGATTCTCTCGCTGAGGTTTTGGGGTTTTGGGCAGCTGCCTTTGTGGTTTGCAGTCGATGAGAGCAGAGAGAGCCTGCCAGGGGATGGGGGGAACCCACTCTGGGCTTTCTGTCCCCAAGAAAGTGGCGTTTTGCCATCCCTGTGGCCTCAGGGCTGAGCGATGGGGGGTGTTTTGGGGAGGTCCTGGTGGAAATGAGGAAAGCAAGACAGGACAGAGAAATTATGACTATTTTGAAATGTTCCAGCTGGGATTGCTAGGTCTCCTTTTGGAGCTGCACAGGGTTCTGTTTTGCTCCAGGCTCCCCACTCCCACCTTGGCTGGTGGTAGGAGCTGCAATAACCCTGCTCTTGCTGGTCAAGCCCGTTTCCCAACCCGAGGACACCCTGTCTTACGTCCTGCTCACCCCATCTCCTGCCCACCCAACTCCTCCTCCATCCTTGCACAACCACCCAACTCCTCCTCCATCCTTGCACAACCACCCAACTCCTCCTCCATCCTTGCACAACCACCCAACTCCTCACACCTCGTGGCCCTTCCCCAGGGCTCAGCCTTTTGGCACGATGCTCCTGTGACACCTCCACCCCGTTCTGGTGGTCTCCAAACCCAGCACCTCCAATATTTTTTCATCCTGCTCCAATTATTTATTTTCAGAGTCTCAACTGGCAGAGACTGGTTGCTTCCCTGCCCAATTCCCAAGCCCAGACCGGGGGGATAAAGCTTGGGCTTTCAGACTGGG